AAATCCTCCAAAAGATCATCGTGAATTGTTCAACCTTCGTCATGCATCACTGCGCAATGCTATTGAACGTGCATTTGGAGTTTTGAAAAGGCGGTTTGTTCTCATTTCAAATGATTGTGGTCCTCGTTATGGAATGAAAGTCCAAAATGGGATAATTTTAGCATGTTGCATTTTACATAATTTTCTAATGGCGTTTGACCCTGATGAGGAGCTTATAGCTGAGGTTGATGCTGAGATCGCAAGGCAAGAAATCACTCACGATGAGAATCACTTCAGAAGTAACAAAGAAGATTCTGTTCAAGGAGAGCGCTTAAGAGATAAATTGGCTATTGCGATGTGGAGGGATTATAGACAGTAGTTTAATAAATACAATGCAATTTCGTACTTTTGTTTACATCGTAGATGTATAACTCTACTCATTTGAATCAGAAGTCGTTATGTCCTAAACTTTTTCTTGTTTGGTATATGTGAACAGTTGATGACTATTTTTATTCTCGTTCTTATTTAAGTTCAATTAATGTACTTATTCCTCATGTTGTTCATTATATGTGTAATTGAAGTTATTATTATATTATTGTTATTAGTCCTTTTTTTTATTAAAGATTTGAGATTTGATGATACATATTTTTTGTAGATATCATGGCTCCGAAAAAGAATGTCTCTAGTGATGGAAGTTCATCAAAAATGCTAATTTGGACGCCTGCTATGGATTCAACTTTGGTTGATGCATTCCTGAGTCAGTATAATATGGGACTCAAGGTTAATGGCACTTTCATAACCAAGGCGTACGAAAACATTCTGGCTGAAATGACAAGAACTTATGACATAAAAATTGAGAAGAGCCAAATAAAGAGTCGATGGAAGCTCTTGAAGAAACACTTTTCGGAGGCTTATGACATTTTCAAGAATGGTATGAGTGGATTCACTATAGATCCAATAACACAAGCTTGGACAGCTGAACCAGAAGTTTGGAATGACCTTATCAAGGTATAATTATAGTTTTTTATTTCAGTTTTAGTTCATATGAACGTATTTTTCAACACACCTTCCTGTAGATAAAACATTCTTCTCACATAGACCTTTTTCTGCTCAAAACAGTCGAACTCTAAACAAGGCCAAAAACTACTAAACTGAAATGCGATAAATTGAACAGCCAAACACCTTTATGAATAGTAGATATAGGGGAAAATAATAACATAACAGTTCAGTGTGCCAAATTGCCAATATATGAGCAGATAGGATATGGAAAAATGTGACAAGATTGCCAAACTTTACCTGATGAAATCTTGCGCTCTTGTAATTCTCAGAGAAGTTTTTCCTAATTGCCTATAAGCTGCAATTGCAGATATTCGAGTATATCTAATTTATACAAGTCGTTAGCAGCACTTTCAGTACTCATTTAAAATGTCTTCAAATGGCTAATCTACCAAATGCAAAAATAGTTGTGAAAGTCCATAGGTGTGGAACTCTTCAAAGTTACTGAAGGCTCTAATACTTGTTAGTTAATCTGCTCGACTGTTTAATTGTTTTCTTATGGCTCTAATACTTGATTTTATTATTATGTAGCTTGACTTTATTAGTTATTAACTGGACCTCCCTGCAGACGTCCCTGCATCAATGACAACTAATATGGATATCTTTGTTTTAATATTATTTACTTGCATGTTCATATGAAGCTGGTTTCCTCTAGACTGATTTCATATCAACATGTGTAAATTTGGTTCATTGTTTTGGGTTGGCATAGGTTAAGCCTCAAGCCAAGATGTTCATGCAAGCTCCCGTACCTAATTATGATAAAATGGTGATTCTCTATGGAAAAGATAGGGCTACAGGAGTTGAATCAGTAACTGCTTCAGAGCTTCGAAAGCGTCCTAGTTCAATTGGTACGGATGATTACAATGATTCTACCACTGATTCACAGGTGCGTGTCGATGATGATATTGAGATAACATCAAGGTCAATGACTAAATCCACCAAAAAACCCAAGAAATCAATTGCAAAAGAGAAGGACATTCTTGGTGAAGGAATTAAGGAAGCAATTGAGAAGGTGGCTGATGCGATTATAACTTCTGGTGAGCTTCTTAGCAAGAAAGCACAAATATCTCCAAGCCAGACATATGAAATGTTGATGGAATTGGGCTTTCAACCGCCATTGATCCATGTTTATTATAGCAAACTTGTGATGAATGTGGATTTGCTTAATGCGGTGCTTGGTTGTCCAATGGAGTATCGCAAGGATTTCATTCAAGGAAGATTTGGTTCTATGGAGCAGTCTTAGTTGTTCACCGAAGTTATCTACTTCATTGTCTACTATCTAATGCTTTGTAATTCACATTTGTGATGTGAAGACTATTTATGATTTATGTTATTGAACTTGAGATATGGTGTTTGATATGCTATGGACATATATTCTGATTTAGGTTATATATTTAGTTTGAACCTTATAATGACATTATGGTTATACTTGGGTTGTAGTACTTAGTTTATTTATTGTGTGAATAGTTTTAGTTTTGAAATCTTAATTTTATAGGTAAGAACTTGTTTGAGGGCTAAGTACTTCATTTTTTTCTTTTGATTTTGAAATATTAGTTGTTTTAAAAAAATAAATCATATTTGAAAGAAAAAATAAGCTTTTTAGAGACTTGTATTTTTTAACAGATTATTTTTTATAGTTTATCATGATTTTAAATAGTTTTTGTTGTCGTAGACAATTTTTGAATTTTTATTACTCATGTTTAAAATCGTTTAGTCAAAATCAAAATAATACTAGATTTTCTGTTAGATAGATAGGACGATTATTGGCAATCCTTTTTGTTGTCTTAAAATCAAAATCGTATGATTTTTATTGTCATTGACAATCCTTTTGTTAAAATCATATGATTTAACACATGTCTATGGCCTTTTGTCCTATTTCTACTTAATTAGACTGTTTAGTCAAATCAAAATTTGAACTAGATCAAATATATATACGTATAAATCAATAATACGTATATTTGCTATAATAATTAGTCATAGTATTCTCAATGATAAGCTACTTATCAAACAAGGGTATATTAGGAAATTTATTTTATTAAACCTTCCTCTCCTTTCCTCCAACCAAACACAAATGCTAGTTAAAATCCTTCCTTCTCCTTCCTTCCCCTTCCCTCCTTTACCCTCCCCTTCCCTCCCCTCCTTTGAACCAAACAGGGGCTTAGGATAGGACTCGCCATATCCCACCATATACGATATTTGCAAAGGATTATCTCCCAAGATATAATCCACCTGCGTTTGTTTATATAATAATATATGTGGTATTGCATTAATCATCCATAAAAAAATTATCATCCCTCACATGTGTAAGATAACTGAGATTGGTATTTTTATTAGTACGTAACAACAAACATTAATGCTGACCAATGCACACTCCTCCTGTTAATAAAAGCATAACTTAATTTTCTGAAATAGGACTTTCATTACATATTTGAACCATTTTCAATTTCCCCTTTTTCTGAATGTCCTCTCATTTTATTATTTCCAGTAGAATTGTTTGTAATTGTTTCCTTTTTCTAATTTTGAATTTTTGTACTCGTATTATTTAAGTCTATAAAGATTTTAATATTAAAAATATATCATCTTTTCTAACTATTTTTTATCTGAACTAAGATGACATGATCGAACAATATATTTTGATTTTGAAATTTAATAAATGTATGACATGATAAATCATAATGTATCCTAAGGAAATCAGTTTGATGGCATTTCCAAATTAAATAAAATATCATAATAGTAATGTACAATATAATTATTATTTCAATAGGACAGTGTGCATATGCACTAATTTTATCAAGATTACATTATAATATTACTTCGAAATATATATGTTATTGTTTTTATTTCAACACAATATTTCATTGATTGTTTTGTTATCATTATGAATATATAGGATCTCGTCACTTTTACTATATTATATATGAATGAAATGTGAGGCATATTGTATGGTATGTCATCATGTGTCTTAAATCTATTTGTGAGAAACTGCGGCGGTCGCGCAGTAGATGATTCTATCGTTGAAAAGATTTATTTCATATTTCTCATTTCTGTTCGGAATTCTAAATTAAGAAATCAAATTTATGTTATTTTGGGGATAAAGTAGGATATTACTAATAGTTCCTATCTTGGGAATTTAAAACTTTTACTCGTCGTAAACTTAAGACAATAAAAAATTGTGCTTTTTAAGAACTTTAATTTGCCTTTTGTTAATTAATTAATACTCTTTCCTTAAAACTTAATCACTTTTTAATTTGATGGTAAATAGTTTTAAAAATGACCAAAAATATATTTTTATACGAAGCTATATATAATAGGTAGTATGAAAATGAAATGAAAGTGTACTTTGTATAAAATATTATATACTTTGTATAAGTTTATAAAACTTATAACTTTTATAAAACACATGACACAAAATCGTTTGCCAAAGTTCAGTGCACCACTATTGGTCAAGAAAGAAAAAATGACACATTTTAAAAGAGAGAGGAAACATTAACCAATCAAAATCATTGGCTACTCTTTACCAAAAAGATTATAAATTTGAAAAGAGTAAGAGAGCATTAATATGTGGTGCAATTTATCAAACCCCACAAATAAGTGAGTGCATAATGCACTGTGCATTGTTATTACCATAATACATTTCAGTGATGTAAGTCATATACTCCCTCTCCGTCCCCGAAAGAAGTTTCTCACTTGACCTTCACACACTTTTATGCAAGTAAACTTATCAGGGAGTAAACTTTACTGTTTTGACACTGTTTGGAGTAAGAGTTGGGCTGGGCCGGTACAAATAATTTTTACAGATAAGTTTTTACACATAAATTTTTACATTAAAAATATAAGCAATTTTAAAAATTGGGCTGGGCCGTGGCCCGGTTGGCCACCTCTCCACCTCCGGCCCTGACTTTGAGGGTACCGTAGATTTTGCCTTAATTTATCTAATTAACTTTTTTAAAGTACATGATAATTACCTGAGACTTCGCAAATTCTATAAGTTTAGAACTTGGGTAAACATTGTCGCCACATTGAATTGTCCTTTTGGAGCTCTCCAAATACCTTCCATAGGTAAGTAAGAGAAAAGACAGAGATATAGGACGTTGCATGTTTCCCATCAACCCTTTCTGGTACAAGAGTCCACCTACAAAAAGACGTGCATGCATGGCCACATAAATTTCCAAAAGAATTGATTAGCCCTAAAACATGAAATCTTATAAAGTACTCAATTGACAAAAAGCTACAGAAAACATATAGTCAATTACATACCAGGAGTAAATTGCTCAGTTTTTGTAGGCGAATCAGGAAGAACTGCGCAAACCAGGGCATCGGCATTGGGAATGAATGGGATGGTATCTTTGCTGCCCTCACCATTCAAAACATACTGCTTGCAAAATTAATTAATTGATTAATTAATTATTTTAGTTGGTAAAATATATGAAAAATCATTATTGATTAGATTAGCAAGTAATGAAGTATTTAATTACGGAGTGTTAGCTATTAAATAAATTGCATGGTCAATAACCTGGGAGGCGAGGACATTAATACCAGCGTGTTTGGCATCCCATCCAAATAAACTTCCGGCTGTCCAAATTTTATTTATATTCTCTTTCACATAATCCCAGTACTGGGCATCATTTGTGGCTTTATGGAGCCATGCTGCTCCCCATAACAATTCATCCTACCAATTTAATTTATCCAGAACTATGTTAATTCTTCAACTAATTTAGGAAATTGAAGATTTACTCCAATAATTTTTAAATGTGTAGATAAGTACGTAACTAGTCCTATAAGTAGTAGTTTGTTTAATTTTCAAAAATAGAAACTTTTTCAAAAATAGATTAGTCCTATAGTTTTTTAAAAAAAACTTTCAAAAATTGTTGTGCGAAACTTTTAATGGATTTCTAAGTAGTACAAAAATTAGAATGTAGAGACTTAGGAAACTGTTAGATACAACACTAACTTATGAAACTAATAAACCTTAAAATTATGCTCTGTACATTCGCACATACATTGCATGCCAAACATATCATGCACTTACTTTTAGACACAACAATAACTTACGACACTTAGCGTCTATTTGCAACTACTTCTACATTAAAAAAAGTGTTTTAAATGAAATGGGGAGAAGAGATTAAATAAAAGTTGATAGTGTTTGAGAAAAAAGTGATTTTGAAAAGTAAAAGTTAGTAGTGTTTGGTAAAATAAGTGCTTTTTGTGTAATAGAAAAAGTAAAGCACTTTTGACACAAAAGCATAGAAAAATAAAGTTAGTAGTGTTTGATAAAATAAGTGTCTTTTTAAGCCAAAAACTGAGAAGTGCTTTTTTTAAGCATTTGCAAACCAACCCTTATAACTCTTAAATTATACTCAGCATATGCACATACACTGCCTACCCTTTAATTTAGTTATTTATTACTAGTACTTTTTTTTATTAATGATGCAAAACCAGCTTGATCAATGGGTATGTATATTTGAATACAAAAGATTTTTTTTTGCTAGAAATACTCTTATATAGGTATAAACTTACAAATTACAAATTATATATGTATCATTATTGATCAAAGGAATTTAAAAATGACAAACTTTTTAGACCGGAGCAGTGTAATTCCGGATGGATGATGCATAGTACATAATAGCTTGGGTTCATAGTTATCTATATTTACCTACCTCGAAATCCAATAATTTTTACATGTAATCCGTATGTATTACTCACTCCGGTTTTTAATAACTTCACACTTTTCTTTTTGGGACGGTGTAAAATAAACTTCACACTTCCTTATTTCCTTTTTTGGCAAAGAAAACTACATCAAAACAGTGTCAAATAGTGTCAAACAGTGTCTCAACAGTGTCTCTACAGTGCCAAACAGTGTCAAACAGTGCCTCAACAGTGTACTCTACAGTAAAGTCAAATTTCTTTCCTTATTTTGTGTGAAATCAAAGTGTAAAGATTAAATAAAACCGGAGGTAGTATGTACTATGAACTTAATACCTGATAACCGCTGAAATCGCAATAGAATGGACAAACGGCTGGACAACTATTATTGTAAGAAGCTCGGAATTTATCAGCAAACTCGAAAACCTGACATCACAAACAAACATATTAGTGTGTGGATCAAATCAAATCAACACGGATGAAAACAATAATTTCTTTTTACGATTGGTGACGTCATTCATTTTTTGATTTGTTCGTCATTGTCAATGTTATAATCATCGTCATTTTTAATAGAAGACCGACACCATGGTTAACGATCGATTTAACTTTGATATCATGTTAACCTCATATAAATAGTAGACCAGACTTAATATAGCACTTTATTAAGTCAAAATTTTCCGGTGTGAGACTTTAACCTTTCTTGTTTTGCTTGATTATACTAATTGTTACCTGGAGGGCCCTTTGAAGGAGGGAGCTGGAATAGACAGGATCAGAACTCTTTAGAGCCAAGGAAGCCGCAGCCAAGGCGGCAGCAATCTCGGCAGAAACCTCAGAACCCGGAGACGTTTCATTGACCTGGTAAACGGTACGAGGAGTGTCCATATCTTCGGGCCTTTCCCAACAGTTGTGGTCTGCAATTGGGTCACCAACCATAGCAATCACAACATTTTGTTTGTTTGTAGCCTTCAACAGAAAGTCCGTTGACCAGCGTATCGCCTCAAGTGCATGGGGCAACTCATCGTTACCCATGTCTTTCCCGTATTCCAGCACACTCCATGCCAACATTGTGGTTGTGAATGCCATGGGAAAGCTATACTTTACATTGTCACCGGCATCGTAGTAACCGCCTACCAAATCCATCTGAAATTAATCATAGAAAATAAATTTAGCTATTTAAGTTGTCATAAAAAAAGTAGTCAAATACGGAGCTAAAACATATATGGTCAAAATGATATGCTCATATTATGTTTGCGTAATATACTAATATGGATCTATTAGTTGTCATATTATGTTTGCGTAATATACTAATATGGAGCTAAAACTAATATTAGACAATAGGCGTGCTTATGTTTTACTCCTGTTTCAGGAATGATATGCTCATATTATGTTTGCGTAATATACTAATATGGATCTATTAGATACTGCAGTGCAAGTTACTGCAGTTGTTGTAGACGGGATGACGATTTATGTTTATAGATTTATATTTTGCAAATGGAGTTGACATTTTTGTACTAGTCGAGATGATATTTTTTTTCAATTATTTTTGTTCGAATAAATATACTAACACAATATGTGGCTTTTTTTGTTGTATCATGACATCATTGCTCGATGATGATAATTTGACTTGGTGATATTATTTTGTACCATGAGATTCTTGTTTCAAGATGACTTACTCGATTAGTCAGTTGAAAGTTAACATTTTTTTTTTAAATAAGGACATTTTTACAACCACACTCACTTTTACTCCTATTAGATAAAACAGAAGTCATAATCCTATTTTTACACATTCACCATATATTCAGTCATATTTTGTTCATTCTCTTAATTAAGCTAACTAAAGTAGCAAAATAAAGGCATAAATAAGTTGCTAGTTAATCATGTTTATAGATACGGGATCAAATAGAAGCTCTTCCTAATTTATAAAACTACAAGCTCTTAAGTTGATTGTTGGAATCGCCCGGTGGTATTTTGGCAATAAAATCAAACTGAACTTTTTTCGGGTGCATATCTTTAAACGTTAATATGCAACTCTTATTTCATTGCACAATAATATGCAACACTTTAAATCTTAATATGTGATGAAAATAGCATAAAGATGCATCGTACAAACATTCGCACAATAAATACAGGGGCAGATTTGGTTGAAACTGTGATGCTACACTATTAAGTTATACATGACAAAACAAGATTAATTAACAAATAAAAAACTGCCAAGGTGCTATACATGACAACAGAATATTAAATTAGGAAAAATAACTTAGTCATACGTGGATAATTTGATCTGAAATTACTAAGAATAAAGATAAAACTGGGAATCAACCTTCAAAATATAACTACTTAAATTACGTATTATTTTTCTTAAACAGACTTATTAAGGAGGGTTAGCCGGCTAGAGAATATTCATATTTTGAAAGAAAAGCCATCCTGCTTTAAGAAGTTGCTATATACCCGTATCTTTCTACTTTTCCAAAATTTGGAAGTCTAATTTTATATGATGATAACATTTTACGGCCGGCAATAACATTTTTATGATAATTTTTACGGTAACAAGTTAATGACATTATAACCTTGTCCATCTCGAATAGGTGATTTTTTATTATTTAACGTAACAAGACACTACCTATACTACGTACCTTCTCATCTAAACCATCTCGAAGAGCAGAATCCTTTCTCCAAGTCATACGCTGTGAAGAAGGCAGAGGACCCGACCTCTGGCCCTCATAAAATAGGATGCTGTTGGATAAGGCCTTGCCATAATCGTGTCCCTTCACCCAGTGGCGGACCCAGAGGTTTGTGAGAGCGGGAGCACACTAGACACTAAAGTTAGTCTATAATAATAACTCCAAATGTAATAAAAATGGTAAAAAAAAATGTACGTAGTATTAAATTATACAGAATAGTTAATTACATATTACATATTTCAGTGCTGCAACTTTGGTAAATCAAGCCCACGAATTTTCATATTCTGAAAATGTTGCATAATAGTTTCATTATCGATGCTTCTAAAAACATCTCTCTCGATGTAGCACACCAAGCAATTTGTAAGATAGTCATCTCCCATCATATTGCGAAGATCTGTCTTGATTATCAACAATTTTAATTTTTAAAATAATCGCCCAACTAAAAAGCAGGTGTCGTCAATGCAGAATAAATTGAAAATAAACTTACAAATCAAGGAAATATGGGAGGATTGAGCGGTGTAGGTGTGCGGCGGTGCAACATCAATTCAGCTAGACAGCGAAGTCCCCAGAGGCCAGAGCCAAGGCAGCGACATCCCCTAAAGTCGTAATTCGTAAACCGTCCACGTGATTTTTATCATTCTAGTCTTCCAAATGTTAGTGAGTTTTTAGACTTTTATCACTCCGTAGTTTTAGTTGCCCGCACATTGGCTACTCTTTTGCATTTTAACTTTTTTTGTTACTTTTTGTTTTCAATTCTTAATTTTTTTTTTTGATAATTCTATATCTTTTATTTTAATTCAGCTAAAATTTAAATGTTTTGTATTAATTTTTTATTTATATAACCGTAACATTTTAGTATCTTAATTATCAAATACTGGTATGAAGCCGAGACACCCGTTTTTATCCTAAGTACTACTACTGAAATTCCGGGCTCGAAGCGGGGGCACGTGCCCCACCTAGCCCCCCCTTAGGTCCTCCACTGCCTTCACCTCCGTCACCGTTAAAATGGTTATAACGCCTAAAAGAACTACTTTGAGCAATGGATTATTCTGTGATTTTCCTTCCCCCGCCATCTCTGATATTAGTACAGTTTCTTTTTTTTTTTTTTTTTTGAAAGAAATTTTAGTACAGTTTCTTAAACCATATATAATCTAATAACCACTCTCACGTTTCTAATTTATATGGTGTATATATAGTACTTCGTACTTAGTCAAGTCGAGTTCTCCTTTTATTTTTGTGGGTATTTTTTTGGCAAGTCTCCCTTTATTCTTTTTGGCAAGTCTCCTTTTAATTTGTTTATTTAATTAGTTAAATGTATTTTTTAAATTTCATGTTTCTTAATTGTTACTCCGTACAACTAATTGTATTTTAAATGTATTTTTAATAGCGAATTCAGTCTCGAGTATTTGACCGTAGTCCGTAGCAATTAGTTAGAAGGAAATGCCTTATTTCAAAACGCTAATCCAAAACGTTATCATTAGCGGCGTTTTCATTTCAGTGACTCCGTACTAAAATGCTAGAGTCAAACAACTATTTATCAAACAACGTTTTCGCGAACTGAAAACGCCTAAATGGTATAACAGCTATTTTTACATAAATACTATTTTCAAGACAACCTAAAAAACTTTCAATTCCCAAACATATGAATGAATGAATCCTATCTTCGAGAAAATGACGTTCCTATATGAAACAATTTAGTTCTAATCTTATCACGCATATATTTCATGGGCCCTGTTGTGTTTATCTATCTTTCATTAATCAAATACGTAGTATTTTATTTTAGTACTCATACTAGATGACCGTGACTTCGTGAGAACAATCTCATCTCTAAACCGGCTAAACGATGTAATACTACGTATTATTTAGAATTAAAAAAAAATAGAGTAAAGAGAGCAACAACAAAAGAATCCACACGTTCAAGCCTTAATTGCACCAATTTGCACGATTGGAAGAAATATGCATTTGAATTTCTTGATTCCTTCATGTAATTCCCATTAGGAAATTTGTCATAGTCAGTCATCTTAATCTATTACGTAGTACTCCGTACTCCGTATTATGTCTTCTTTCTTAATACGCCTTCGATTTCTCTTATAACATGTGTCTCTTATCTTCTTGTTTTGTGAGAGAATCACTACTAAATATGTTAACACCTACATAAAATGGACAAAAATTAAATTTGGAGATCATCATTGATATTTTTAAGAAAAATTATTTTAGGAAGTCTCGTTTTTCTTTTATTAGTGTACGTGTAGTTATATCATATATCTGATTTGTATAATTTAAGTTTGCAATAAAATTAAAGGTGACAATGTAAATAAATTTATCTACAAACAGTGTTATTCTTTTTAAAAAATTGCAAATAGTGTTATAAACAGTGTTATCACGAGTGAAAATAGTTCTAAATACTAAATAGGATTAAGTTAATCCCCAAATATACAAATAGGACTATGTTATTTATCTTCCCAAAGTAGGACAAAAGTATACACCATATTTGTACTCTACCCTTACCATAACTTAATATGATAATCATAATTTAATTTGTAATAAAAACAAAAAATAATGAAAGTTATTTTAGCTTAAACAAAAATCGTAATAAAATTTAAAAAAATAGAAAAATTATATTAAAATAATAAAAGTAAAAAATTGGAGGTCTTTCCCACAGCCTCCACCACCGCCCAGTAATGCCACCTCCGATCAACGAAAAAAGTCATTTTTTGTAAAAATTCTCATTCTTTCTCTGAAAATACCATGAAAATGACAATATTACTCTTTGCAAATGTCAGCATTTTCTTGAAAACTGTCGTAAAGATGGCATTGCTTACACATGTTATGTTGTCTTTTTCCAGTGTACGAGAGTACGTGGTGGTGCTAGGAGGTTGTTGAGGCGGCAGCAAAGGCCGGCCTACATATTTTTTTTTATTCTTTTACGTTGTGTATTTTTTATTTTAATTTTTTATGTTTTTCATTTTTAATTTTATATTTTTTCTTGTTTTTTTTATTAATTTTATTTACTATTTGTTTTCTAATTTTTTTTACATTTTATTATAAATGAAGTTATGTTATTACTTTTATTTTTTAATTATTAATGAAGTATGAATCATATTCAAAAACAACCAAGCATTCAAACCCAGCTGGTTGTGAGGTTACCGTGCCTAGTGGGAGGTTTCGAGTTCAAAAACCGCTAGGCACATAAGGGTTTGAAACTCAATGGAGTTAGTTTCAGCCCCGATTACTCCGAGTTGGTTACTCCAACCAGGAGTAAAAAAAAATGAATCGTATTCAAACAAGCAAGGGTAGAATTGAAAAACTAGTCTTATTTAAAAAAATTTAAAATTATAGTCATATTTTTGCAATATTTAAAGTTTCATTAAGTCCTACGTGGAGAATTCCCTCTTATTAGTAACTAGTATAGCTCCCGTGCGATGCACGGTAGGTGAGTATTGTTTGGAAATAAATATGGTTGTTTTTACATCTTAAGAGTGCATGTCAAAGGTTTTTACATCTTAAGAGTGCACTGCCTATATTTTTTTTAGTGACCCGATTAAGTCAATCTAATCATTTCAATCAATTTTTTTCAATCAATTGATCCAAAAGGTGGAATCTCCCACCCCAGGGGCCCTCACACCCCGACCTGACAGGATGGTGAAGGAGTAAGTCACGGTGACTCAGTCAGCAAAGTGGCGGTAGGCCTACACCCGTGCGCGACAGAGGTCCAGCCTTATTTCAGATTATGTAATAACATCCACTCGGTCACTGCGGGGATTCGAACCTTGGTCGATTGATCCAAATTTCTCACCACTCGACCAACTGAGTTATCCAATGTTATAAAAAACATCCTTACTAAGAATGTTTTTACTTGAACTGATTTCAGTCCCAGATCAGAGTAGACATGAACTAACTATAAAAGACACAAAAACCAGACACTTATCAGACCACACCAGACCTCCCATAAAATCTTACTCCAAGTAAAACATCCTAATTGGATAAAGACATCTATATCTTTGGCTATATTTTAAATCATCCAAGTTGGTGTAGATTATTATTTAAACCGTTTTTCAAGTAATATTTTCTAGTTTTTATTAATAAAATATAATCCAAATACTCTATATAATTTTTATATATTTCAAACATATTCAGCAAATTCACTTACTTCAATCAAATTTTCTTAAATTATACGGAGTAATTTTTATTATAAAATTTCATAAGCTATACTCCGTCTTAACTAAGGCGATTCACTTACTTCAATCAAATTTTCTTAAGTTGTAGAAAATTTCATAAATTATACTCCGTCTTAACTAATTTTAAGCTGAATTATCAAATAATTTCTTATTTATAGCATAACTAAATTATCAATTCATTAAAATTACACCTTTCAAAAAATAAATTCTTGGGAAAATGGAAACTTATAATCCAACCTTTTAGCGGTCTTCTTACAATAGTCTCACCTTTTCGTTATTCATGAATAATCCAACCTTTACACCTCATCTTCATTCACTGGTCCCTGACCGTAGGAGTGGGAAAAACCAAACCGAAACCCGGAAACCGACGCGAATTATGACCCCGGTCCGGGTTTTTTCTTTTTAACCGGCCCTAATTAAAAAATACTCGGACCGAACCCAAAATTCCGGGCTCATTAACGGGCCTTAAAATCTATAACCCGGCCCGGACCGAAAAAACCCGAAACAATTAGCTTTAATATAAAATTAATATAAAATATGAATATAAATTTATAAATATTTTCTAATATATGATTATAATCATGGTGGATAAAAAATCATTTAGTAACTTTTAGTGACTACAAATATGTTCAATTTGTTTAGCATAATGTCCATGAAAATATATTTATAGGAACTCTATTTACATTTTTATCTATAAATTTTATTTTGTAATATTTTTAAGAACCTAAATTATTTATTTATATGCATCTTAAATAAAATATTAAGATAATTATCTTCTTTGGATTTGAATTGTTGGTGATTTTGAAGACTAATATTTGTGTTATTATTTGCGGTTTGTATTTTTCATTATTTTATTTTGAAATAGGTGTTAAAATATAAAAGAACAATGAGATAGTTCACGTTCGGGCTTTAACCGGCCCAACCCGAACCCGGACCGAACCCGGGCTACCAAAAACCCGACTCGGACCGAATATGATGGGCTTTGTTCTGGTCCCTAATTTTCATAACCCGAGACCTTCCGGGTAATTTCCGGGTTTAGCAAAAACCCGACCCAGACTGGACCGATCCCACCCCTGCCTGACCGGTTGATGACCTGTTATTCTATGTCATTTTCTTAT